GTAGTCGGAACCCACACCTCTTCAAAAATTAAACAAAATTAGCAACAGTTTTTATTGTACCTGCTACTTTAAACAATTTAAATTGCAGCTCTTTCACTGAGCAAGATGGATCAAGCACACTATCTATAATTTTCCTTCTTGAGAAATTAGATTTCTGAAACACACATTACTCCACAGCAATCATGCTTTCGTCTTGTAAAACCTGAATTGCATTTGGAGTACTCCAGGTTTTATGCTTAAATGATAGTGCCTTGATAAGAGAAAAAAAATTGTGCTGCATTTTTCTTCCCATTGTGCCTGAAAACATAATGGGTGTACATATATTAAATATATTCTTACAAATGTCCAGGTCATGTATATCAGCTGGAATTCTTTTAATGTGTGGGTTTTGCATTGTGAGATTTAATCAAAACATTAACATGAGTAGAAGGTTGTTGGTTTAGATAAGTTTGAGATTTGTTAAAATTAATTGCTGTATATTTGTCCTTCTGGAGGTTATGGAAGCTTCATGTTTTCTTTGGACATCATTAGATGCCTTAGCTCTTGAAGTACAACTTTAATGCTATAACAGTTTTGCTATTTTGCTAACACTGGTGTGCACCGTGCATCCACCATTCCATTGGAATTATTTATCCCATTCATATTAATTTTTGTTACAAATCTAATTGTTGGAGGTCCTTCTGGGTATTTAGATCTGCACTCTACTTTCAGACTGTATATTCTGTTTTCGTAGTTTGTCCTTGGTGGCTCAATAATCATGCCTGTCCACCTTGTAAGTGTCATATCTTCATCATCTTCAAGTTCCCAGTTTACTGTACCGTCGTCTACTCCTTTTTGGCCTTCTTCAAGTTCTTCTAACAAGCGAAAATTACGTGGAACTTTAGCTCCTGTGGAGACCGCCATCTTCTCCTGCAACCCGGGACTTCTGCCTTCCATAACATTTTGAGTTCCAAATTTGCCCCCCATCTCTCCCCTCCCCCGACTCCAAGACAGCATGAAATCTGATATAGGCTCTGCCTATACATTCATATTGAACCTAAAGGGGCAGCTAGGTGGCGCAGTGGATAGAGCACCAGCCCTGGATTCAGGAGGACCTGAGTTCAAATGCGGCCCCGAAAACATAATACTTACTAGCTGTGTGGCCCTGGGCAAGTCACTTAAGCCCATTGCCTATCCAGAAAATACAAAAACAAAAAAAACATATTGAACCTATTCTCACATTAGTCATGTTGTAAAGAAGGATTAGAACCAATGGGAGAAACCAGGAGAGTGAAGAAAAAAAAAAGAGATATCAAATAATGTGCTTCAATCTGTATTCAGACTCCATAGTTCTTTTTCTGGATGTGGACAACATTTTCCATCGTGAGACCTTTGGAGTTGTCTTGGATCCTTGCATTGCTGAGAGGAGGTGAGTCAGTCAAAGTTTGTCATGGCACATTGTGGCTGTTGCTGTATACAATGTTCACCTGGCTCTGCTCACTTCACTCAGCATCAATTCATTCAAGTCTTTTCAGGTTTTTCTGAAATCTGCCTGCTCATCATTTCTTTCTTTTTTTCAAAAAATAATTTATTTATTTTTAGTTTTCAACATTCACTTCCATAAGATTTTGAGTTTTAAATTTTCTCCCCCTCCCTCTCTCTTCCTCCCCAAGACAGCGTGCAATCTGATATAGGCTCTATTTATATATTCATATTAAACATGTTTTCTTATTAGTCCTGATGTAAAGAACAATTAGAACTAATGGGAGAAACCATGAGAATGAAGCAATAAAACATAACAACAAAGGAAAAGGAGAGCAAATTGTATGCTTCCATCTGCATTCAGACTCCATAATTCATTCTCTGGATGTGGATAGCATTTTCTATCATGAGTCTTTTGGAGTGGTCTTAGATCCCCGTATTGCTGAGAAGAGCTAAGTCTAACACAGTTGGTCATCGCACAATGTTGCTGTTACTGTGTACAATGTTCTCCTGGTTCTGTTCACTTCACTCAGCATCAGACCATCCACGTCTTTCCAGGTTTTTCTGAAATCTACTTGCTCATTATTTCTTATGGAACAATAGTATTCCATTACATTCACATACCACAACTTGTTCAACCATTCCCCAGTTGATAGGCATCCTCTCAGTTTCCAATTCTTGGCCATCACAAAAAGAGCTGCTATAAATATTTTTGTATATGTGGGTCCCTTTCCCCTTTTTGTGATCTGTTTGGGATACAGCCTTGTTTGTATCCTTTGACAATTTATCAATTAGAGAATGACTTCTATTCTTCTAAATTTGATTCAGTTCTCTATATATTTTGGAAATGAGGCCCTTGTCAGAGACACTGGTTGTAAAAATTCTTTCCCAGTTTTCTGATAGATAGTGAAGCTTTTCTGAGAGGCAATACTAGGAATGTGGCTTTCCTATCAGTTCCCACTAATGTGGGAATAGGGACAAAGAATGATTCCTAATTGATTTTTCCGCTTATTATTTACATTGCTTGTTGTTCAGTCCTTTCAAGTGAGTCCAACTCTTTGTGACCCCATTTGGGGTTTTCTTGGGAAAGACACTTCATTGGCTTGCCATTTCCTTCTCCATCTCATTTCATAGATGAAACTGAGGCAACCTAGGTTAAGTGACTTGTCCAGGGTCACACAGGTAGTAAATGTCTGAGGTTGGATTTCAACTCAGGTCTTCCTGACTCCAGGCTCAGCACTCTATCCTCTGTGCCACCTAGCCTGCCCTAAAACTCACTGTTTATTGAGGCAGTCCATTCCAGGACAATTTTGTTAGGATCATTTTCCTTACATTGACCCAGAGGGTCTCCCTGCAACTTCTACTCCATTCCTCCCCTCTGCCACAACAAATGAGAGTCAAGTGGAGGGTGGAAAGTATTCTACATTTGGAGTCAGAGGTTCTGGCTACAAATCCTCCATCTTCCACTTACTACCTGTGTGGCTTTGGGTAAGTCACCAAACCTCTCTGAGACTGTTCCCTTATCTGTAAAATAAGGAAATTGGGTCTCTAATGGCCCTTGCAGATCTTAATCAATGATGCTGATTCATCTTTTACTTAAAAGCCCTACAAATACTTGAAAACAACTATCATGTCTCCCCAACCCCAGTTCCCCCAAATCTTCTTTTCTCCAAGGTAAACACCTAAGCTTCTTCAAGTGACCTTTGGCAAGTTGCTAAAAGTCTCAGAATTTAATTTCCTCCCTCTTCTTTTTTCCCCCTATTTCATTTTTTTTTGTTTATTTCTCTCCTTTTTTCCTAACCCTTCTATTTCTTTTTGTAAAATTTATTTATAGTTTTCAACATTCACTTTTATAAGATTTTGAGTTCTACATTTTTCCCCCTCCCTTCCCTCCCCAAGACACTATGCAATATGATATAGGCTATACGTGTACAAGCACATTAAATGTATTTCCACATTAGTCATGTTGGGAACAAAAGGGAAAAACCATGAGAAAGAAAAAAAAAAGAGGAAATAGTATGCTTCTATCTGCGTTCAGACTTCGTAGTTCTTTCTTTGGATGTAGATAGCATTTTCTGTCATGAGTCTTTTAGACTTGTCTTAGATCATTTCGTTGCTGAGAAGAGCTAAGTCTATCAAAGGTGATCATTGTACAATGTTGCTATTACTGTGTACAATGTTCTTTGGTTCTGCTCACTTCACTCAGCATCAGTCCATCCAAGTCTTTCCAGGTTTTTCTGAAATCTGCTTGCTCATCACTTTTTATGGAACAATACCATTCCATTACATTCCTATATCACAACTTGTTCAACCATTCCCCAACTGATGTTTCCTCCCTCTTCTTAAGAAAATTGCAGTTGAGAGAACCTTCTTACCTTGTAGGAAAAATTGGAGCATAAAATGAAACAGAATTAAGAAGGTGAAGAAGCTCTAAGGCTGTTTTTCCAGCTACTCTGTATAGATCTTGTATCTACCTAGTTCCCCTCCCATTAAACTGTGAACTCCTTGAGGACAGGGATCCTATTTTTGCCTTTCTTTATACCCCTAGCATTTAGCCAAGTGCCTGGCACACAGTAGGCATTTTATAAATGTTTGTTGATTTGCCTTGTCTTGCCTGTTGGGTATCCCTCTTGCCTCAGCTGTGTCAGCTAACAAGAGCCTTTTCATCACCCTATTTCTGTAGTCTTATCAGCTGCCACATGGTGGGTAGGGCTGGTCCCATAGAGGAACAAAGCACCCTCCTCCTTATCCACCGTACACGCTCAGACTCTCTATAGATCTGGGCTCAACGAGGGGTAAGTGACGATTCCTCCGTGCCCTCGCTCTAATTCTTTTCAATGTGATTCAATTCAACAAACATTTATTAAGCTCCTATCATAGGCAGGAACCTAGGATAGGGGGTTACAAAGACAGATAAAATACACCTGAGGTCCACCTACGTTTAGGGGATGTGATCTGGAGGAGGATCCAGCAAAGGAGACAGAGAAAGAGCAGTAGAATAGGCAGGAGAATCACCACCACTGCTCTATTAATTATCTCCAATTTATTTATTCTGTATATATCTTGGTGCACATGGTTGTTTGCACGTAGACCGAGTTCCTTGAGAGCAGGTAGTCTTTTGTCTTTCTTTGTATCCCTTGCGCTTAGCACAGTGCACCTGGCACACAGTAGGCGCTTAATAAATATTTCTTGACTGACTGCTAAGGCTGAAGGGAACTCGCTTCTGTCTCAGCTCTCTAGGACCAGGATGTGGGGCTCGGCCTCCCACTCTGGAAGCGAAAGGGGCCGGACACAGAGCCAGCTTTTCTAAAGAGGCGGGAGGGAGGAGATGGGCAGGATGGGCGGGACGAAGGCGTGGCTTGGGGAGAGAGGGGCGGGGGGGAAAAGGGGCGGAATAGAGACTTGGGCTCCAGACCAAGGGAGGGGGGCGTGGCTTCTGAAAGGGTATGGAGGCCGGAAGTGGGGACTGGATGGGGGCATGGTTTAAGAAGCAGAGGGCGGGGGAAGGGGGGGCTGGGACGAGGAGGGCGTGGCGGGAGGTAGGAGAGAGATGGAAGGCGTGGCTCCGGGAGCGCGAGGCTCAACGCTTGCTTCGCTTGTGGTTGCGGTTTGGCCTGAGTCGGGAGCCGTAGCTGGAGCCGCCGGGCGGATGTTATGTGAGGCGCCGAGGCGAAGGGTGAGTGTGGCCGCCGGGACGGGCGCGGGGACCCGGGGAGGCCCCGGAGCCGGGGAGGCGGGGTCTGCGGGCTCCCGAGGCCGGCCGGGCTGCCGTAGTCCGTCGGCTGGGAGACGAGGGGGCGGCGTCGTCCCCTCCTTCGGCTCCCCTCAGGATGTCTCCCTCTCCGTGTCCCTCTCCCCTCCTCGCTCTTGTCCCCTGGGGGGGCCCCTCCCCTTCCCGCTCGCTGCGTCCCCTCGGCGGGACCTCCCTGCCCTGGGTCTCCTTCACCATGACCTCCCCCCTCCACGCCGTGTCCCCTCACGGGGACCTCTCACCCCAGCGCCCCCCCCCCACTATAATCCCTCCCTTGCCACCCCGCGCTTCTCTCTGGGAACCTCCTCATCTCTGCTTATCCCCGTAATTTACATTCCTCCTCCGCTTCTTCCTGGGCACCTCCGGCTTTGCGCCCTCCCTCGCTGTGATGCTAGGGCCTCCGGGTGACCCCCTCCTCCCCGCTGGGGCCCCCGCTGTGCCCCTTTCGCTGGATCCCACCTGGTCGTCCCCAGCCTCTCCGCAGCTGTCGGCGTGCTCCCTCCCCGGAGCTCTCCCACGACCCTCACCGTGAGGGCACCGCTTGTTTCACTCTCCACTGAGTTCCACAGCTCTCATCTTCTCACACCTAGCCCCTCTCCCATTCCTTACCCCTCACTATCCTCCTCCTCCTCCTCCTCTCCTCACCCTCTCTTCTTGTCCCCTCTCGCAATCCGCACTGTGACCCCTGAGCTCTTATGACTAGCTTCACTGCAGGTCACTAGGACCAGTGACCTCATCCCCTTCTAGCCTGAACGGGGCTCTATCACTTTTCACTGTAACCTTCACAGCTTTCATCCTCTTCCCCCCAGCTGTGATTCAGTCGTAATCCCCACTACCACTATGGCCCCTGTAGCTCTCACCATCACCTCCACTGCTCTCATGATCCCCCCAATCTTCACTATTCTCTCCAGGGTCTCATCCCTTTCACACATGCAGTGAAATGCGTGTGAGAGGGATGATGAGGGGTTTGGGAGTGACCCTCATCATCCCTCTTACACTAACCTCATTGTGACCACTCTGTCCCTTACAAATGACCTCTCCCCAAAGCTCTACACTATGATGCCCCCAAAGTTATTTGTCTGTCCTATTTCCTCCCTGTGACAGTTTTGTGCCCCTTCACTTTATACTCCCTTACTCTGACTGATTTATGTCCCCTCAGCCCTCGTGGCACTATTGTGACCTCTCCCAAATGTTCTTTTTGTTTTTCAGTCATGTCTGACTCTTCATGACCCATTTTAGAGTTTTCTTGGCAAAGATATTGGAGTGGTTTGCCATTTCCTTCTCCACATCATTTTACAGATGAGGCAAACAGGGTTAAATGACTTGCCCAGGGTCATCCAACTAGTATATGTCTGAGGCTAGATTTGAACTCAGGTCTTCCTGACTCCAGGCCTGGCATGCTATCCACTGCTCCACTTAGCTGCTCAAATTACTCTAATCCTTTGTAATTCCCTCCTTCAGTGTGGCCTCCCTTTCCCAAGTAATCCCTCATTGCCTATACCTGTGGTATCAAACTCAAATAGAAACTGGGGTCAGTAATCCATACATAAGGATTCCTGCAGGCTGCTTATTGACTTAGTTTTAAAATGTAATGTTTTTATATGTTTTACTGTATTTTTATTTGTTTTGTTAAATATTATACAATTACATTTTTATCTGGTTCCGCTGACACTCAGGAGTGTTGTCCAAGGGCTTGATACCTCTGGCTTACACTGTAACTATACTCCCCAAACTTTTCTGCAGTCTTTCCTGGAACCCTGCCTCTATTTTCTTCAGACCTTAGGTCCTTTCTCCTCTATTCCTTCTTTATTCTTTCTCTGCTATTTCCTTGGAAGCCACATCCCAAGCATCCTGATCCTGATATTCCATCTCTATTCCCCCATTGCTCAGGGCCTGATCCTGAACTTTGTTCTAACAGGTTATCTTTTGAAGGCAGTGTTAGTGAAGGCAGTTGAGACAATGGGTGTGTGCTCTGGGCTTCCTGACTTGTTAGTAAGCATGGACAATGAGAGATCCAAATAAAAAATAAGGTACCTAGTGGGAGCCTTAGTTGAGCCGCTGGGTTCTACCAGGGCTAGGCATTTCCCTCCTGTGTGACTCATCTTCCTTCTCCTCTGACCAAACAGTATCTTCTGGGGAATGAGGATTGGTAATAGGGATTCATTCCATGAGCTTTGAGAAGTTCCCTGAGCCAAAGGCTATTTCCAGAGGGGTTAGTGGTGATACTCTGCACTGACTTTCTAATTCCTGCTGTGTTGAGGCAGCATAAACACATACACCTCCAGTTCTCCATTCATTCTCCATCTTAGGGTGGAGTTCATTTTTTGCCCCAAGCTGTCAGATGTAATGTTTAAGACACCTGGTGCTGGAGAAAAGTAGGTGAGAAAGTCAAGGGCCTGAATTCACTTAAAACTGCTCAGGCTTCATTAAGCTAAACTCTGCCAACACAAGTTATTTTTCCTCTCTGTTGTGCCTGGAGCTCCCAGGGTGGTGGCTGGATTGGTAGGTGGGGAGGTTGTAAAATTGACACAGTGAAACTCTTAGGAAATCATCCTGATATAAAATAGGCAGGGCCAGGACGTCTGTGTACACACAGAAGAGATTGTGAAGAGACAATATTTTATTGTTTCTATTTGGCTAAAATTAACGTTTATATGTTAAAAAACCAGATAGTTTCTAGATAGTCTTTTATTTAAGGTTTTATATAGTTTAGTTATCTCATTGATTATTGGATATTTGTTTTTGGTGATTATTAAATTTATAATAATAAATTACTTGAAAAATTGTGTGGAGTCCACGGGGTTCTGAAACCTCTTGTCCAAAGGACTCCCCACCTGGAAGGGACTGAAAGGTTTCTCAGTATTACATCTGAAAAAGGAGTCAGAGATATTAGTACTGTAGCTGATCTTTGGAGAAGGTCCAGAGAAGAGCTGCCTTAGAGGACTGGTTAAAGAGATTAGAGCAGTTAGGAGATTAGCTTCTGAATCAGCTCTGCTGTCTAAATGGGGAAAGAAGCTTAGAATGGTTCTTCCTATCCTAGGGGGACCACACAGGAGGAAATACTCTTAAATTAAAACAGGAGAAATTTGAGATGTGCATAAGAAAGAATTCTTAGTTCTTATCATTGTGAAACTGTGGCAGTGAGTGGACATCCAAGGAAGCATATAGTAATTCGCCATCCGTGCCTCAGTGACCTGAGTCTGGAGCAGTGAGGGGGCCAGAAGAGCACTTGAAGTTCTTCCAGTTCTGGGATCCTGTAGAAAGGCTGCAAAAAGTAGAGGTTTGCTTGGTGTGTATGGATGTGCATAGGTTCTGCCTTATTGGTGGGGTTCTAGACCACCTTCTTTAATGGTGTCCACCCACAGCATGCTCTTGTGCACCTGACATCTGTCTCCCTCCCTCTCTCACAACTACAAGCATTTGTTGAGCACCTACTGTATGCAGCATGTCAGGTGCTGGAGATACAAAGATGAAAAGAATGACTTAGATTTCTTTGCTGTTGGAAGGTTTACAAAGCACTTTTCTCATAACTACCCTGTGAGGCAGGTAGTTGCATACAGTATTATTACTCCCATTTTACATATGAGGAAACAGGCTCAGAGATTAAGTTATTTGTGCACAGTCACACAACTAGGAAGTATTAGAGGTAGGATTTGAACCCAAATCTTTTGACTCCAAGTTTAGTGTCTTTTTTAGTATGCCATATCAAAAGGCAAGGGGTGGGGAGTGGGCAGTGATGAGATGTGTAAACAGATAACAATGATAATGGCCAATAAGAGTTTATTAAGTATTTACCATGTCAAGCACTATGCTAAGTGTTGGGAATACAAAGAAAGGAAAAAAAAATCTGTACCCTCAAAGAGCTCATATTCTAATGGAGGAGAAGACATATAAATAACTTTGTACCCACAAAGTATATACAGTGTAAATGAAAGTAGCAGTGGGAAGAGCTGGACGAGGTTTCAGAATTGGATTGGAGCTGACTTTTGAAGGAGGCCAGGAAAGCTAGGAAGGGAAGGGAACGAGACAAATTCCAGGTATGGAGGGTGGACAGCCAGTGAAAAGCACCAAGTTGGGAGATAGACTGCTGTGTACAAAAAGGTGAGTATAGCTATATCATACAGTGCATGGAGGGGAGTAAGGCATAAGAAAACCAGAAAGGCAGGAAGGAGCTAGGTTATGTATGGCTTTAAATGTTAAGCAGAAGACTTTATAATTGATCCTCCAGGCAAAAAGGAGCCACCAGAATTTATTGAGTAGAAAAGGGTGACATAGACCTGGGCTTTGGCAGTTTAGTAGACAGTTGATCAGGGTGGGGAGAGATTTGAAGTATGAAGACCAAGTAGAAGCTTACTGTAGTAGTCCAGGTATGAGATGACAAAGGCCTGCATCAGGGTGGTGGCTGTGTGAGTGGAGAGAAGAGGATGTAGATCAGAGATATTGTTAAGGTAGAAACTACAAGGCTTGATTGGATATGGGGACGAATGAGGAGCTGAGAATGACAGGTTATGAGCCTACATGACTGGGAGGACTGGTAGTGCCTTTGCCAGTAGTAGGAAAATTGGGAAGAAGGGGAGGGCTTTGGGCAAAAGATAATGAGTACTGTGTGGGACATGTTGAGTTTGAGATGCCTATGGGACAACTAGTGTGAGAATTCCAAAAGGCATTTGGTAATGTGGGACTGGAGCTCAGAAGAGAGATTAGGGCTAGATACAGAGATCTGGGAATCATGTGTATAAAGTTGATAATTGAACCCATGGGAGCTGATGAGATCACTCAGTAAAATAGTATAGAGGGAGAAAAGAAGAAGGCCCCTGGCAGACACTTGATGTCCTACTTGAAGATCCAGCAAAGGAGATGAAAGAGCAAACAGGTTAGAAAGAGCTAGGGAAGAGCATTACCATGAAAACCTGAAAATGAGAAGA